GAGAGTGAGAGAGTGAGAGAGTGAGAGAGTGAGAGAGTGAGAGAGTGAGAGAGAGAGAGAGAGTGAGTGAGTGAGTGAAGAGGGAGTGAGAGTGAGAGGGAGTGAGAGTGAGAGTGAGTGCGGAGGTTCACAAAATACTGCGCCTGCCACAAAATCTGTGTTTCGAGGTTCACAAGTGACTGTGCCTGCCACGAAATCTGCACTTGGAGGTTCACCAAGTGCTGTGCCTGCCACGAAATCTGCACTTCGAGGTTCACCAAGTGGTGTACCTGCCGCGAAATCTGCACTTCGAGGTTCACCACGCGCTGTGCCTGCCACGAAATCTGCATTTCGAGGTTGACAAAGTGCTGGCCTGCCACGAAATCTGCACTTCGAGGTTCACAAAGTGCTGCGCCTGCCACGAAATCTGCACTTCGAGGTTCACAAAGCGCTGCGCCTGCCACGAAATCTGCACTTCGAGGTTCACAAAGTGCTGCGCCGGCCACAAAATCTGCACTTCGAGGTTCACAAAGTGCTGTGCCTGCCACGAGATCTGCACTTGAAGGTTCACTAAGCGCTGTGCCTGCCACGAAATCTGCACACCAAGTGCTGTGAACGCCACCAAATCTGCACTTCGAGGGTCACAAAGTGCCGTGCCTGCCAAGCAGTCTGCACATCGAGAGTCATAGAGTGCTGTGCCTGCCACGAAATCTGCAAACGAGCCACATGTCCAAAAGTCAGGATTCACTGCACCTGTCACGAAATCTGAGCTCCTCGACGATCACCACCATGTCCAAAGTGCTGCACCTGCCACGAAATCTGCAATTCGAAGTAAGACAGCTCCAATCCATTGCACCTGTCACGAAAAGTCGACAAAGCACGAGGCTTTCCTTGCGCCTGCCACGAAAAGTGACCACCATGTGCGAAAATGCGCACGGCGCAGTCACTAGAAGCACCCGCCGCCGGCCCCCAGATTCAGCGAGCCTGCGCAGTCAAAATGCACATTGACGATGTCGAGAGGCATGAATGTACTGTAAATAGCAGCGAATTAGCGGGTCACGGCCGCGCGCTTCAGCGATCTAAGCATCAGCTGCTTTTCACTCAAGGTAAGAACCCCTAGTGTGTCCCCAGCTGCTTTTCACTTACCGTAAGAACCCCTCAGTGTGCCCACACTGTTTGGGGAACATAGGGATTGGAATTCGAGGGGTGCGGCTGTGTCACCTAGACCCACCCAGGAAAACACAGTGGGAAATTCACATCCCTATGAAAAAGAACAACGCAATTTGAGTCAACAAGGAACTCACCGCCCCGTTCCGAGAGGCTCAGCCGTCGGCGAGAAACGGGTGAAGAGACCGAGGTGTTCTGCGAACCTAGAATGTTCAACAACCATAGCCCATAGCCCTAATGGTCTGAATCCCAAGCAACCATTGTTTTAAAGCCGGTGAGCCTTTCTTTTAAGGGTTTCCGAAGCTCTTTGAAGGCTAGGGAAACTGTTCTTGTCAGAACAGCATACGCTCTGACAGCTTCCAGGGAAGAAAAGGAACACGCGAAGCACAGAGGGGAAGAAAGAAACAAAACATCGAACATGGACACAGGAGCTTGAGCCCGTCAATCAATCAGGCACTAAGTCTGCCTCACAGTCCCCTATGCACCGCCAAGGCACTCCCATATTTCCACAGAAGAAGCCGTCCAACGCTCGAGCAGCGAAGATTGTTGGCAGGGTGGTGCCCAAGCCTGTCGACGTGACAACAAGTGTGATCAAGAAGGAACTAGCAACAAACTCCGTGTTCAGGAGAAAAGGTTTCGCAGCTTCACGCTGACATGTCTCTTCTGCTGCCCTGGCATTCTGAAAAGACCCCTTTTCAACCACAAAAAGGAACTATGGAATATCTCCACAAAAGCCGCACCGATCACGCTGGCGCAACATATTGCCCACCCATCCCGTTGCACCAAGAAGCAGTCTTGCTCCCAAGCTCGCGGCCACAAACTCCCACTCAGATCAAAAGCTTTGAACCCCAAATCTCCAACCGCCAGTCCTCTGAACAGCCCGGTGTCTATTTTTGGTCACGTGGTCACGTGGTCACCTCATGGTCCACATGCTCGGCCTTCCTCCGGCCTTCGCTCGGTCGACCCGAAAACGTGGTCTTCAACGCCGAGCGGCCAAACATGATGGGCGCAATCACCGAGCCGCCCAGGCCCACGAGGAGTGCAGGCCTGTCTCGGCGATCTCGCCCCGAACTGGTCGGAGGGTCTTTCGAACGCAATGAGCGGTGGTGCAACGCGCGGGGTCGAACAGTGGTAGCGTAAACGTGCGAAACCAGGTTGCTGATAGAAACTTGGAGGTCAAGAGTGTTTTAGCTTTCACAGGTAAGGAGACCCACAAGTCTAAGGTGTCCTACTAGTACAATTACAAGAAACGGCTGTTTCAGGATCCTTCCCCAAAAAAGAATACGAGACACGCTAACCTGGGAACCGACACCCGGCCAGAGACCGATACGTGAGCCAGCGGAGTTTCAGTTCTTCAACGCGTTCTCTCCACAAGTTGCAAGGAATACTGCACACACCCAGGCTCAACGGATTTGCATGCTGCTTGGCTCTATTTCAACAACTCTGGATGGTGGACTGGAGATGTCCATGAACACCAACTTCCACTGGAAAACCTCTGCCGCCGAGGGCGCTTGCGCCCCACTTTGTCGGCCAACGTGCCCCAGAAGGGCGAGAAGACCACCTGCGTCGTCGCGGGCGCGGTGTCCGAAACACCGGAGTGAGTCGGTTTGCGGACTCTTTCCATCCTCCCCCCAGTTTTCAGCCTCCTCTCAATCACTGCCCATGGGATAGCAAGTTCAACCAGTCAGACTGACTTACAGGCATCTGATAAGGCATCTGAGTCGTTTTGTGTCATTTTTTCGGAGGTGGAAGAGCCTATGTCCCATGTCTCTGGTGCACTGACATCACATGCGAGATCCGAATCACCCAAACTGCCTTGAAATCTTATGGCCCGCTTGTTCCCTGTAGTAGATTTGCAGATGTCTTACACATACAGATTGTGCTGTAGAGAAAGTCTGACATGTTGACCTTTTCACATGTTTGATGCTGGGGTTTACAAAAGCAATAATAACTATTGCTATTGTTATGGTATACTGCAACTTCTGATTCTGAATCTATTTCCTGTTGTGGCAAAGAAAAAGGGAAAGCTTCCTGCCTAGACTCACTTGCAATATCCACACTAATTTGATGCACACAATTCAAAGCCAACCTCGCAAAGAGAATACAGCCCGATCAGCATACCAACCTTGGAAACAAGCACGGCAGCTCAAGTCTGATGGATAGCAAACCCTGACCTCCACTTGACACCTTGTATCCCTGCTCTGTTCCCAAGCCTTAAGCTTATTGCAAACTGCCCCCAAAAGAAAAGAACATACAAGGGCACAAGAGACAAATTGCTACGAACATGACTGCTCAGCACACATATTATAAAGTCCTGCCATATCATTTTGCCTGTTCAGCGAACTTGTTCGGAGAAGCAAAAACGAAACGTTCAACAACCGCAGTCAGCACCTGTTTGCCTGGGAAAAAGACTCCTGTCCGGGCCGGGCGGCTGGAATGGAACCAATATCAATAACAATTTCCAGCAACAAACTGAATTCTCCATTTGCCAGAACCAACCTCAAACAACAACCACTAAGACTACCCAGCCCATGTTCTCTTTGCCATCACCAGGATGTTTCCACCATCTAAGGAACCCTGTTTTTTGCATTCAAGAAGAAAGCGACCTAAGGAAACCACGGCCGCTTACGCTGCGGTCGAAACAAGAAAAGACATGATGGATTTGGTGGAGACCTCACCACGAGGACGCCCTTTGCACCCAAGAAACCGCATGTGCCACAGCAGGGCTTTGAGGGCTTTGTTGCAGAAGTGTGGAGACCATCTTGTCCACATAGGGCGTCAAAAGGTTGACGTTAATGCAGTCCTCAGCCAGGAAACTCCAATTTGTCTTTAACAGAAACCCATGCACAAAGAGTCCAAACCTCGTCTGATTCTTCCAGAAGAGTTGATTCTATATGAATATGTTCTACGCACCTCGTCTTCCAATGTGCCGAGCCTGCCCAAATGCAAAAAAGATCCACAAAACCCGAAGCACTGTTTGCTGTCTCAACCCAAGCATCAATCAAATTCATCGCGCCCAGCACGAAGAGGGTCTTCCGCGTGAGCTGAGGTTTACGGTGTTGGGGCTCCTGCGGGTCCAGCTCATACCCATTCGCGTGCAAACCATATGGACAGAGGCCCCAAAACGTCCTAAGAAGAGAGATACTTGAGTAAAACACGTTGGTCGCATTCAAAACCACTTGCCTTCCATTGAACTGTGCAAAACCGATTCAGTGTCAAATCAAACGTCGGTATTGCCAATCCTCACCACACGCATTCTCCGGAGCCATGATTGGCACAAAAAAAGGTACGTTTTTTCACGTACAGAGTTGGGCACACTCAATCCCTGCTGCGTTCGCCGACAATTTACATGATTTCCTAGCAAGGTTGAGACCATTTGAATATCACAACACACCTGCGCCACACCGATCGTGTTGGTGTTTGCCCAAATACCAAGCATCCGTAGGCATCCGTTCATGATTTGACTCTGGCATTCACCAAGCTGGAGCAAAAGCAAGCGTAGCGGTGCACCCAAAAGGTCGTTAAACGGTGGATTGATGAGTGGTTTGTGCAATTCAAGACGGTCAAATGAAAAATAAACGTGAACGTTCACAGGCATGGTTTCTTCCATTCAGTTGTCAGCATCTTGCTTCGTTCCGGGTGGAAACCGTGTCAAGTTGTGGTCCACATCATGTTTTTTTGCCAAGACCATCGTTAGTCGTGAATGGCGCAAATCCGTCGAAGTACATCCATGAAATCAACGTTGTTGCGGGATAAATGTCCAATATCACCTTTGTGGCAAAAAGGTACCACTATGACACCATGATGAGCAATTGAAAAACCTTCACCCAAACCCAGTAGATCAATCATAACTCGTCTATGGCTGAAAATATTGAAAATTTGTTGCTCCAAAAAGAGAACTTTAACTTTCTACCGTTTGGTCACGCACTTGCAAGAACACTCGACGGTCTCAGAGCAGCCAGGGTTAGCTCGACAAGGCCAATTTCAATGTCAGAAGTGGCGTGCGAGGGCCAACCCGCGGTGCCAGACATGAAGCAATGTCATGCGCTAAGTTGGCTGGCTATCAATCTAATGGCAAAACCACATTTTTCGTCAGTCACTCCAGCAAAGGAACGCTGAAAAACATGTTGGCATTGGATTGGAGTGGAACCATCAAACTATTGACACCAAAACTCTGCACATGGTTGGATTTGGAGGTTTGCTTTACATGCAAGCGTCCAATGTTTGGCAAAGTCCCAATCTTAGTGACACGACACGCAGCGATCACTACACTTTGACATTGCGCATAACCATGCTTGAACTGTTTGACAAACCCGCCCGCACCGAAGTTGCCGAGGCGTTTTTATAGGGCACGCATTATACCGCAAGTACCGCAAGTACTAATAGCTTTAGCTAGCGGGGGGCATTTTCGCTCTAGAACGCTGTGTTTTTTCATGTTTTTAGAATCGGCTTAAAGTGCTGGAAGATAAGTTTGGGTTAATTTTTGCTATCTTGAAGCCTTTAGTGATGCAAGGAATGCCATTTTCTGCTTTGCATCATCTGCATCATCTGAGCGGTAAAGTGCGCTAGAAGTCATTATCTAACGGACGTGTCTGCGAGATAGGGACTTGAACGTCCGGGTACGTGGCTGGTCAGGAGCAGAGATAAGGAAAGATAAGGTCAGGAGCAGACTCACGAGCCTAGCTCCCATACGGTCGGACATAACTCCAGAACTCACTATCTCAAGTATGCTTCGCCGAGATGGGTACTTGAACGTCGTAAACATGGCCCAACGAAGGCTCCAAAGGGACTGGAATAGAGTGAAGATATTGCTTCACATAGCGCTAGAAGTCACTATCTAAAGGACGTGTCTGCGAGATAGGGACTTGAACGTCGTAAACTGGAATAAAAAAACCCTCCTAACGTGGCCAAACATAGCTTCCATATTGCCTGGCATAGCTTTAGAAGTGATATTTGGCTCGACAAAAGCAGAGATAAACAGAGATCAAGTTCAGGAACGGTAACATTTTCGCGCGAGCAGAGCGTGCATATGATCGAACATAGCCCCAGAAGTCACTATTATCTAACGGACGTGTCTGCGAGATAGGGACTTGAACGTCCGGGTACGTAGCTGGTCAGGAGCAGAGATAAGGAAAGATAAGGTTCAGGAATGGTAACATTTTCTCACGAGCGTAGCTTCTATATTCGGCCACGTTGGGGGGGGGCCGTTCTGGGGCTATGTTCGACAATATGGAAACTATGTCGGGCCACGTTAGGAAAACCGTTACCGTTAATTGACCTTATCTCTGCTTATCTCTGCTCCTGTTGAGCCGAATTGCGCGATCTTGAGCTACCTTGAGAAAAGATACCTCGATTTGCGACGTTCAAGTCCCTATCTTCCTTTCATATTGACTCCCTTGGCTCCAAGAGCACAAGACCCCGTTACAGATCGTGTTCCTTACTGCAGCTCTCTCGGTAGCAGTCTTTTAACCCCCCAAGTACATTGGGCCATGTTAAATCCCT